AACGAACACACCCACCGTCTTCTCACTCAAGTTCTCCAAAGGGGGTACGAAGGGATAGGAGCCAGTGCAAAGGACGCACGCATCGTAGGCCATGTCTTCCACGGCCTCCGTGTTCACATCTCGCAGCGACACCTTGCAGCTGTCGCGGTCGATCTTCTCGGCCCGGCAGTTGGTGCGGATGGCAACCTGAAACACAACAACATGCGATGACAAACCCCATAGCATCCCACAACCCACAAACCCTCTCATTTCTTCATTCTCGCCTTGTGATCCTGGAACCACTTTTTGTCACACATACTCAACTTGCTGGGGTCGCGGTGCTCGAAATACTCCGTGAGGTGGACACGGTCATACGCCATGCGCGGCTCCTCCCCAACCACGGTGATCTCCAGCGCACCGTCACCCACCATGCCCACCAGCTTCACAACCTAGGCTTCAGACATCTTCAAACACCAGCGCTGTGATCTCAAAAAAGTGTTCATGGGAACTTGGGCTGTCTGCTTCACACACCCACTTGCATGATAGGGGGTGGGAAAATGTGTGTTTTGGAGGATGCCACACACTCTCTGCCATTTCCGGGACCTACTGTTGGGTCGGACAACGCGTGGGAAAAAGGGGAGGCATTTGCAGATCTAGGAGCGAAGTCGTGTCCGACCGGCCCATGGCCGACCACGAGCACGCGCCTGCCTTTGAGCTCCACCGAGGGGCATTCGGAGGACACGTGCGTTGGCGCATCCGCGCTCAGCGCCGGAGCTGGCTTGCAGGCGCCTGCGGCGTCCAACGCAGCCACCAGGCCGGCAGAGGGCTTTGTGGGCAAAGCGGTGAGGCGCTCCAGCTCTGCTTTCAGAAGCTTGATCTCGTCCTGGGCCTTCTTGAGTTCTTCGTTGGGCGCCTCCTTGCCAACTGGCCCAAGGCACCACTCCGGCTTTGTGTACTCTTTAATCCAATCCTTCTTGTGGATGGCAGACCAAAACTTCGTTGCGTCCTTGCCGGCCCAATCCAGAACCACTTGGTCACCTCCAGGGTGGTCCTCAAGGAACTTCGTGAGGTCGTAGATGTAGCCGTGGAGGACAACCCACGCAGAGTCCTTGGTATTGTGCTTCTTCACCTCACTCATGGGGATGCCAAGCACACCATCTTTCCCACCGTTGACGTGGCCGTTGACGTGGCCGTTGACCCCGGCTTGCGCGGGCAAGGGCTCGAAAGCCGGCTGGTTCTTCGACCAAAGGCCACCGTTGGAGAACTCCAGGTACTTCTGCTGGTCCGTTCGGGAAGTCATTCTTGCGATCATGGGGAAGCCGCCCATCTGGACGTCCATCTCGAAATGGGAGCCCGTCCGCACTTTCCCAACCACCGGCTGGCCACCGAAGCAGGATTGAACGGAACGCACCTCGTCACCTTCCATCTTCAGCTGCACTCCCCCTTTCACATTCTTGATGAACCACTCGCCTGTGATCTCCTTCGTGCCATCGGTGAGGCTGACAGGTTGCGTCATGGCTGCGGTCTGCACAACTGAGGAATTGGTGGCCTGTCACTCCTCCAAAATTACTGAATCCAAATGGACTTGCGGCCGTGGTGACTACTGACTACCCTGGCCATGGCAAGAAGAAGAATCAGACATCGCAATAGCCAGTAGCAGCTCTCCAAGCCCCTGGCCATCGACGACAGCATCCGTCGCTTCCTCGTCCTGACATCCCTAAACCCTAAACCCTAAACCCTGAACCCTAAACCCTAAACAGAGTGCATTTCAATGAGGAGACCAGTTGGATTTAGCTTAACCCCCTCCCTCCTCCCCCCCCAAAAAAAAGTGCGGGTTATGGCTCGGATCCTCTGAATTAGGGGGGAGGGTCCCTAGCATGACCCCTAAAAGGATGAAGACCTCCTCGATTTCTTGGGCTTTGATTATTTTTGGATGGTTTTACACATGAATTACAAAACGCATGTGATGTTAATAGGGTTCATTTTGATTTTACATCATTTTGTAAGTTGATGCTAATTAGAACTTAATTAGTTTGAGTGCGTGTCAAAAATAGATGTATTTTGTTGTATTCCAATGCCAATTAGATTTCAGCTGCCTTTGCTTTGAGTTGATTGTATTACGATCTTACTTTGGTTCAATCGGCTTTTATTCGATTTGATCACAACTTCATTCGATTTGAATTGAATTGAATTTCAATAGGATCCGACTATATACACCCCTAAAGTTTGGATATGTTTGGGTCGTACATGTGAGTCGCACGATGCATCCCCCCCCCAAAAAAAAACGGATCTGAGTGTGTACTTTAGGGTGGGCCTTGAATATTGGGGGAAAAGATTAATCAACATGGTCATTTACACCAAACTGCAATTTGACGTAGAGATTCGGGAGGCAAGCGGAGAAGTCAGGTTTGACGTTAAGTCCCTTTACGAAGCGTGGCAGCGGGTACTCGGCTTCACGTTTAGACAGTACATCAGCACCCGAAGTGCCATCATGGGCTTCCTGAAGCTCCCGATCACCCCCTTGATTCGGGCTCAACGGTCCTGCACTGGGGGTTGCCATTGGCAAATAGTAGTGCCTGAAAGAAGACGGGACCTTGGGGTAGACAAGGGACCTTAAAACATTAGGGTGAGGCAGCCAGTTCTCCGTGAGGCCCGGGCAGGAGGGCTCACACGTGGTACAAGTTGGTAACTTAAACTCACCTAGGATAGTAGTGATCTTATACTGTAGCTGTATGTTGGTCATGCAGAAAGACGTAAAAGACGTGAAATGAGAAGGACCCACATTGTGAATGCTCATGTTACTGTGAACTAGGCAGTGGCAAAGGCTGTTTGCCTGTGATTGCCTGTAGGCGTGTATGGACGTGCCTAGCAACACAGCATGAGAAGGCAGCGGTTCTGTAGCATAAATGTGAGTGTCTGCATGTCTCGGGACCGCGCCCCCTCCAACGCAACGGGGCAGCCTCAGCCGAGGGGCATGACGGCTGTCGACTGCTGGCTTCGGATTACCTTGACGAATCCCTCCAACTAGTCTTGCCAAACCAGTCTTCAAATCATGGACCTCGATGACTCAAGAAGTCATGGAACACCTGTGTAGAAAACCTCGCATCACAACAGGAGAGCCTTCAGTTCGCGGCACGACGTTTCAGCAAAGCGTTGCCCTCTAAGATCTCTGCGGCCTTAGTTTGATTTGCCGACGTGTTTAGGAATTATAGGGGGGTTTAGGGGTTCAGGGGTTTAGGGTTTAGCGGTTTAGGGGTTTAGGGTTTAGCCGTTTAGGGGTTTAGGGTTTAGGGGTTTAGGGTTTGAGAACCAGGGTTTAGTCCAGGTTTTGACTGAAGCTTCCGAGCCAAGTCTTCAGCCAAGACAAGGTCCCAGAATTCGTCCGCTTTAAGTAGATAGAATATGGGATATATGGGGATCTTATTCTAAACTACCCAAAGCCATATTCTATCTACTTAAGGGGGACTATAATACCCCCAAACCCTAAATCTTAAATAGTAGTTTCCATTTTCTTTTCCATTCTCCCAAAATCAGCCCAATACAACCCTAATCTTCTTATCTACTTAATTAAGGGGGACCAGGCCCGGAATGCGTTTTTCAGGCGCCTGGACTGCTCAGCATGAAAGCCGACTAAGAAAGAAGGACCGGGCTCCGCCCTGATCCCAAAAGGTGCAGAGGTGAGCCTCCGAGGTGAGCCAGAGACTAAACTCCGAGTATCCCCCTTAATACGCCATATATAATACTCCCTTGTATAGGGTTTAGGGATTAGGGATTAGGGTTGAGGGTCTAACCTCCTAGTATCCCCCTTAATAACCCCTATAGAAGTACCCAACATCATCCCTTATATAACCACCTTTAAGGAGTTTAGGTTCTGGCTCAGGTGGTAGGGTGACCCAGACTCTTTGCACTCTCAATGATTGAGCTGTGTGGTTTTTCGGACTACGGCCCTTGGCCACCGCTTAGCAATCTCCAGCCACTTACAGCGAATATACTTAACAAAAACGCAGCTCAATTTGAAACCCTTGGCACGCTCGCTAAGAGGACCGGAACGAATTGCACTCAAAGCTCGTGCCGAATTTTAAAAAGGCGGTAAGAGAATCTACTGCTGTCCGAACAAAAATGGGAGTGACGAACTCTTGGCCACGCAACGGTGGTGACTCTGTAACTTGGGATTTAAGATGGGATAAGAAAATTGCTTACCACTGCAAGTCCTTGGGCAACTCACAGGAAGATGAGCAGTCGGAGTTGCCCTTGGGGTCCTGGCGGGCGAGTGCCTTGTCCAAGACAT